GAGGAAATGGCACTTCTGCCATGTAGGCAGATGAGCTGTCCATGACACCGAGTTGCCTGTGGACTTCCTTTGCTGGTGACTTAGCACTTTGCTCTTATTACTGAGTAGGTGGAAATAAAATGAATGGGGTCACTGGCTAATTTTACTATCACGTAGGTGTGTTTTCAACCTGAATTCAGGCAGGGAATGTGAGGTTGAAGAATACATAGCAGTTTCATTCAAATCGACTCCTGACTAGAAATAGAGTCAGAGGGAGATTTAAGGGAAAATGTCCCAATGTTTTATCTGTATAACCAGCACAAATGGATAACCCAGCTTCCATGGCTGAGGGAGCCCAGATTGCCCTGGACGACACTAATTTCACTGTTTCCTTTTTTGAAGTGTCTACCCTGTGGCATTTACTTCCAAGAGACCAGCGACATCTTTGTGAAACAATAATGGTGGGCACCCAGGTTGTTTCCTCCGCTATGCTTCCCTAGTTATCCCGAAACTTCCACAGTGGCAACAAGGATTCTTGAAATCCCTCACTCCAGGCAGAATTCTTTCTATGCCACCTGGCATTTTAAATGCCCTTGATGACCTGGGTTCACCATTCTACAGAGGCCAATTCTGAAACAGCAGGTGAGATCCAGACATGCCCTAGAACTTGTGGTGAAGTCTCTGGCATTATGTGCCACCATGTCACACAATTCCATGTGCACCTATCAAATTTTCTAAACCATTACGCTTGGTTTTATGGTTTGGATATGAGGTGTCCCCCAAAGCTCCAGTGTTAATGCAGGAATTTTCAGAGGTAAATGATTTGATGGTGAGAGCTGTCACCTAACCAGTCCATCCTGGTGATAACTGTAGGCAGGTGGGTGCGGCTGGAGGAGATGGGTCACTGGGGTGTGCTCCTGAAGGTTGCATCTTCTCGGTAGGTCCTTCCCCTTGCTCTCTCTGCTCCCTGGCCACCATGACCCTGAGAAGCTTGCCTTTGCCACACCCATCTTCCATGATGTTCTGCCTCACCTTGGGCCCAGAGTCATGGAGTCAGCTCACCATGGCCTGGGTTTCTGAAGCTCTGAGCCAAAATGAACTTTCCCTCCTCAGAAAGCTGTTCTTGTCTGGTATTTCAGCCACAGCCCTAGGAGGCTGACTAAGGCACATGACTTCTGTTTTGATTACTGAATTCAGAGTCCTTTTCTAAATATTTTTCTTATTCTCTCAAGATTTTCTTTTCAGGGGCTGGGGTTGTAGCTCAGTGGTAGAGCGCTTGCCTGGCACGTGTGAGGCGCTGGGTTCCATCTTCAGCACCACATAAAAGAGTAAATGAATAAAATAAAGTTCTAAAAAAAAATCTTTTTTAAAAAAGATTTTCTTTTCATAATTTTGGAAACTGAAAAGACTTTGGGAGCCAGAGGAAAAACATTTTAAGTTACCACAGCAAATCCTGGGCACTTGATATGGGTCTGTCTGTCCATTCTTCCTTCCTTATTTTTTTTTAATTTAAAAAATTGGAAAAAAGATTCATTTATGGGAAAAGATTTTATGACTCAATCATAAATCATTAGGCACTTCTTGATCTGATAAGTAGGGAATATTCATGTCATTTTTGATGCCCAGATTGCCTTCTTTCATAAAACAATTATTACCATTTTGGAGTATTTTAATATGTCACCTTCAAAGGCCATTAAACCCAGTTATGTTTTTGAAACAACAGGCATACTTACTAAATTCTATTAGCTTCCTGGTTCTGAATATATGAATTCTACAGCTACTCCATTCTTAGAAAGTTTCTGTATTTCCACAAATAAAACTCAGTATGAATGGCTGGCACCTTTGCCAACTTAAATACTGTATTATTTTGGCAGTGACTATCTTCCTGAGAGCCATAAAAATGAGAATCAGTCTTCTTGGTAAAATATGCCTTCCCGTTTAAAAATAGATTCTCTCCCAATTCTCAACCCCCTTTTACAGAGACTTTCCCTTAATTATAAGCTAGCATACTTTCTGTTTTTTCTCACCTCCAGAAAAGCACCCAACTCTGAAATCAACAATATTCAAAACAATATTCGGAATCAAAGAGTAACTTAGACTTACCTTCTGTTAATCTGAGAATAAGAATTGGATCTAACCCAAATTTTTCAAATGAGCCATCACCTCTGTCAGAAAGAAGAGCTATTTGGCTCAGGTGTGAACGACTCTTCATTCGGGATGAAAAAGTAGACTTTTGGTAGACTTTCATGCTACGGTTCAAAATTTTTTCCTGCCCAAGTGCAAAGTTTAGAAGAATTTTTAATGTATCCAAGTAATCTTGTTTTCAAATAGAGATCATATATAAAAATGCCATTTGTAATAAATGATATTAACATTAAACCAGCAACCCTCAATTCTTATCTTTGAAGGAATGCATAATTTCCTTCCTGTAGAAAACTGAGTATAAATATATTTAAAAATTAATTTTTATTAAATTGTGTTTCACAAATATGAAGGACTGGGAAATGTCCTTCTGCATTTATTTATATATTTTCACAGTTTTACCTTGCCCAAAGTGTTGAGTCCATGAAATTGAAAACCTGAGAGAAAAATAGAAGTCCCAAGTGGACATTTAAAAAAATTTTTTTAGGCTTCAGATTTCATATTTTCTCAATTTAATTTTGGGAGAAGTTCAACACAACTATATAACACCTGCGGGAAACCATCACACACAGATGAACCAGTTGTCAAGCATTTCTAGATATTTTTCTCATTCTAACAAAGGTAAAGAAAGTCCTGATGTCAACCTTTGCTCCA